GAGATGCTCCCCCCCCTTTTTCCACCTGTAATTCCTGCTCACGGGGGTGTAATTTTGCTTTGGTGAAAAGGCATCCCAAGGGGTTCCTTTAGCTCCCTCCTACCCCCCGGTTTAGGTTAAAAACGCTCATTTTTGGTGAAAGAGCCTTCCTCAGAGAGGGTGCCACCAACGGTTGCACTGAGCTGGCTGAGGAGGAGGAGGAGGGAAGGCTGCTGCTCGAACTCCCCCCAGCCCCATGCTGCAGGTCGGGCTCGCTGGGAAACGAGCTGCCTTTGCTCTGGGGAAGCCCTGAAATAGCAGCGATCCCGAAAAGCAGCTGGCGGGGGAGAAGTGGGGTGTTTGGGCTGGCTTCCCACCGACATCGCCGCCACCCTGGCTCCTCCGCCGGACGCACGTGGGTTTTGTCTTCTCTGTGTTTGCCACGGGAGGAGACATTGCTGGCAGTGCCGGCGGGGTGCCAGCCCCAACCCCGGCATTTCGCAGCCCTGGCCCCGGCGGCTCGCGCGAGCCGTGCTGCCGTCGGCACCCATGGCCGAGCGCCCGGTTGCAGAAGTAAAACTATGGGGGCTGCTGGATGTGCGTCTGTGCGCTCGAGGGCGAGCGAGCCCAGCGTGCACAGCGTGCACAGGGAGCACAGCTAGCACAGGGAGCACGCTTGCCCCCATTCCGGCACAGAACCAGCTCAGGGAGCTGCTGCGCCAGCTGGGAGGCGAAAATCAAGCGGGAGACACGAGGGATATTTGGGGGGGCTGCTTAATCTGGGCTATGAGGAAGCTCCGAGGCTGCAGTCCCGCCGAGGAGGAGGAAGCTTTAGCTGTTTGCAGCAGAGCAGCCTGGCTGCTGGGGAAGTGAGAGCAGCTGGAAGGTCCCTGGGAAGCTGGGGAAGCTGCTCCGGAGGCTGCTCGGGGTGGAGCCGGAGCCTGGGGAAGGCAATGGAAGGAAAGCCAGAAACCCCAACCCCTCAGCAGCTAAAAGCAGCTGGAGGTCAGAGCAGGGCTGGGGGTCTCCGCACCCTGTGGGACAGGGACGAGCTCCTGACGGGGAGCGGGAGAGCCTGCAGCAGAGCCGAGTGCTTTTAATCGCGGTTGCCGTTGCTGGTTACGTAAAGGCCGAGCGCCGGGGTCACGTGCGGCGATGGTGAAATCCTTCCCGAGCAAA